TTATTGCAGCTGTAGGCAGCAGATATAGGGCTCTGACCATGTGCACTGCTCATTTTCCTGGAGAACTGATTCCCTGTTACAGAATAGAAGGAAATGTTTTTGTTTAAAGATATAATTTAAAGAGTGGGGAAATGAATGATGAATACCATTATAGACTCTAAGTTAATGCTCTATGATAAAATGGTGGTTCTTGAAGCTTACAGTTTTGGGACCCCTCAAGCAGTTACAATTATTGAAGACCCCAAAGAGCTTTTGTTTATGTGGGTTATATTTACTGTCTTAGAATTTAAAAAAATATTTATTGGGACACCTGGGTGGCTCAGTCGGTTAAGCATCCGACTCTTGGTTTTGGCTCAGGTCATGATCCCACAGTTTGAGAGTTCTAGCCCTGCATTGGGCTTTGTGCTGACAGAGTGGAGCCTACTAGGGGTTCTGTTGTCCCTCTCTCTCTACCCCTCCCTTGCTTGCTCTGTCTCTCAAAATAAGTAAAAACTTAAAATTATTAAGTCATTTTAAAATAATAAAATTACCACATGTTAACCCCAAATTTCTTTATGAAAAATAACTAGATTACTATCCCCCCAAAATAGTGAGACAAGAGGCCTTACCTCACACTTTTACAGAGATTTTTATTGTTTAGATTAAATTATATGAAAGCAATAAATTATTTGGATTAAATTATATGAAAGCAATCTGTAACTGAAAAAGGGATAACCTCCTGGATCCTAGTAGTCCTTGGATCACATTTTGAAAATCACTTGTATAAAGATTAAAAAGTATAGAGAGTAGCATGGCAGGCTCAATCTGAAGAGCATACGACTTTTGATTTCAGGGTTGTGAGTTTGAGTCCCATGTGGGGTGTAGAGATTACTTAAATAAATAAACTTAAAAAAAAAAAAAAGAGGTATAGAAATGTTTTCCCTGTTACCAGATGCCACTTATATGGACAAGTCATTGGTACACATAGTTGTTTTAATGTCAGTAGTGACTATAACTTTAGTATGATAGCCAACTCATACTAATGGAACTTGCAAATGCTAAAAATGGGCTCAGGGTTGGGTATAGGTTAGTCCAGAAATGTAGAAATTAGGAGTATCTTAAATTTGTGGTGGGTGGTTCGTCGGTTATTCAAGTTGCCAGTTTGAGAATTCTATTCCAATACTTTCATGCTCCCCCCAGAGTAATAATACTGTAATCAAAAATAAAATAGTATAGAAGGGCTTTTAATGAAAAAATTCCCTTATTTTCCTTCTCCCTTCTTCCCAGTTCCACTTTGTAGAGACCCTTACTTTTAGTGCATTCTGGTTTTATTTCTAACCTGCATATCATGAAATCATATGCTTCTCTGTATCTTAATTTATCAACTTTTTTATGCATTATATTTTGACTTCCTACAGTCAGGAGTTAGTACATACTCTCTCATGCTTCTCATTTCTCCTTCCAAATTCATTGATACGCCTATTTCTCTTACTTCAACACTCCATTTCCATCAAAGGTAGTCAGTTTCTCAGTACTCTCTATTTTAGGAAAAGAATCTTGGAACTCTGGTGCTTTACTTTCCCTCTTTCCCCACCCCATCCCCCAACTTAGCTGTGGTTGTACTTGTGATTAACATTTATGTTATATTCTGTAATCGTAGTTTGTCTTCTGTAATTTAGGTTGATTCTGAAACTTCAATGCAAAAACTTTTATTCTTTTATGATTGTAAATAGTAGTACTTACTGTGGAGCCAAGTGGTGGTGGTGTACGATTATCATTTCTAATATGTTTGTTCCATTTTTACAACCCTGTGCCACTTAATAGAACAATCTTCCTAGGTTCAAGTTCAAATGGATGTTTGTTTTTTACATCCTACTGATTGCTTAACTGTGGTGTCTTTTTACCAGGATCATGCCTTTCTTGAGCAATTTCATATTTGCTGAAGCCTTTCATTACCACCCGCCGCCGCCCCCCCCCCCCCATCTTTTTGGTGCCTTGATTGTATCTTAAGATTTTTCCAGGCTCCTGGTATACTGTCCCTTGTCCAATCCTGTTTTCCTGGACATTTCTCTCCTGGAGGCCTCTATACTGTTTTTACTTACAGTCTAAGCTCATTGCCTGTGTTGGTCTGCTGCACAGCTGCTGACCTGGCCTCTCCTCTCTCCTGGATTTGGATCCACTGTTTATAGGATCTCATTTTTTTTTCTTGGTTTATTTTTTATTGAAGTACATCCTCATGTTAGTTACTTCGGAGAGGGGGGTGGTGTATAGGTAGTAAACTCAGTTCTCGAATGTCAAAAAAAATAATAATTCTGTCTTGATGGTTTAGCTGGGTACAGAACTCTGTATTAATAATCATCTTTCCTTGAATTTTTAAGATAGTCTGCTGCTTCTAGCCACTAGTGTTATCAGTAAAACTCTGATTTTCATTTATTTGTATACAGCTGACTTATTTTTTTTCTTTCTGGAGACTTGAAAGATTTTTTTTTTTTTAAACCTTGAAGTGTTGTAAAATGCTATGTCTCTAGATGTAGTTCTTTCATTCAATTTTGCACTCTGTAGTCCCTTTATTTATTTATTTTTTTTTTAATTTTTTTCAACGTTTATTTATTTTTGGGACAGAGAGAGACAGAGCATGAACGGGGGAGGGGCAGAGAGAGAGGGAGACACAGAATCGGAAACAGGCTCCAGGCTCTGAGCCATCAGCCCAGAGCCTGACGCGGGGCTCGAACTCACGGACCGCGAGATCGTGACCTGGCTGAAGTCGGACACTTAACCAACTGCGCCACCCAGGCGCCCCTGTAGTCCCTTTAAATTTGAAAATATATGCTTCCCTTCCAGAATGGGAAATACTATTTCTTAATTTCTTTCATTTGTTTTTTTCTTTTCTTTTCAGAATTCTTTCCAATTGGATATTGGACTTCCTAGATTATCTTCTCTTTTCTAGTTTTCATATTCTGATCTTGTCTGTATCCCTCAACTTTATCTTCTACCAGAGTGTAAAGTTTTTATTTTATGGATAAATCAGAGTTTTTTAAATTCTTGTTTGTTGCCTTGAGATACTCATTTTCTTTGGATCAATCCTGTTTCTTTTGCAGTTTATAGTAGGCTTTCTTCCAACTGTCTGGTGATTTTGGTCAGCTATCTGTTGTGGTAAGGTCTCTGGTTGGTTTCACTTTCTGGTAAGGAAGGGGAGAAAGCTGGCCATGAACCTCCAGTTTAAGTCCAAGAATATAAAAAGTGTCATTACTCTTTAATATTAATAATTCCCTAAATATTTTATTTTTCAGCCCCCAAGAGAAATACCTTTCCATTTTATGTCTGATTCTTCAAGTATTTCATAACCTTGCTTACACATATTTTTATATGTTTGTCTTGTGGTTAATTAGTTTGTTCTGGTTTAAAACTGACTGAAGTTTATTAGACTTAATTTATTCACAAAGGATATTATCTAAATGGAAGCTTCTTCTGAATGAAAATGAAAGTCTTCTCATTTCACAAATAAATTTTTATTACAAGACTTGGGTTCTTAATTACTTGTCCAGTTTTATTTTAAAAAATTAATGACCATTAAGCCTTAAATTTTATGTAGGGATATAATTTAAGACCTTTTATTCTAACACTCCAAAGTAGGCACAATCCTTGGTTTAAAATATTTCAACCTAAGACTAACTTTGCTAAAACTAATTTGAACTTGAATTTTTTTTTAATTTTTTTTTTTTAACGTTTATTTATTTTTGAGACAGAGAGAGACAGAGCATGAACGGGGGAGGGGCAGAGAAAGAGGGAGACACAGAATCGGAAGAAGGCTCCAGGCTCTGAGCCATCAGCCCAGAGCCAGACGCGGGGCTCGAACTCACGGGCCGTGAGATCGTGACCTGAGCCGAAGTCGGCCGCCCAACCGACTGAGCCACCCAGGCGCCCCAGAGCTTGAATTTTTAAAAATTTACTTACTTATTTAGACTTAGCCAGTAGATATTTAATTGAATTGGTATGGTCCAGGCTGGTCATATACATCACATTAAAGGCAGTTTTTCTAAGGATATTTCAAGTTGAAAAAGAATTTCCCAGATGGGTTTAAGATAACCAGAGAATCTTTATTTTGAACAGCAGACAGTTGCCCTAGCCCTTAAACCCCTGGGAATTGGGACTAGATCATCGTTCATCATGATGCTTTTGGTAGAGGATATAGTTTCAGCCCAGATGATGGGTAGGTATCTGGCTAAGAGCAGTTGGGTTAGGCAGCCCTAGGCATGTACTTTATGATAATTGCTAAAGGTATTGACATACTTTTTATATGGTTACTGGGAAGGGTGATTATAAGATTTATTGTTCAAGCCAAGACACATGGGTGTGAGAGAGTACTGTTAATAATTATGAGGGGACAGTGGGCTTAAACCAGAGCATATTGTCCTCCCTTTCTTAGTCACAGGGTCTTTTAAGGATCAGAGGCAGTATAAGTCAAATTGACTTAACGTTCCTATTCTATTCCCACTCTCTTTTTTGTCCTGTAGGACAAGTTTTGGGGATCAAGAAGTGTGAACAAATATTTTGATAAATAGCGTGGGGTGAATGGAAACTATATAGGAGTCCAAGACTATCTAAATTTTTGTATAAACAAACCCCTTTTATGCAGTGTAGTCTGTGTGAAATTTTATCAGTAAATGTTAAATATAAGTTTCACAGAACTGGTGTATTTATATTTTAAATATAATTCTTTTTCTCAGTTCTAGGAATTTTGAAGAACTATAATATGTTATTGGCATTTTTTTCTTAAGGCTGTGGAATTATCCATAGAAAATGTCAATCCCAAACCAATTTTCCACTATTTAAATTTCCCCTTTCCTGTCTTTCAGTTGTCATATATGTAGAAATTATTAGCTATTTTTAATATCAAAATGTGGAAAACCTCTTCCAAATATAAATTATAAGAGTTTCTTTGGACTTTGTTCTAAGTTTTTGTTTTTTTTTCTTTTTCATATTGGGCTGAAATCTGCCACCCTTCCATCCATTGGTTCTAGTTCTGTTCTCTGGAGCAGCATGGAGTAAGTCTCTTCTATTAGAAGGCAGCTCTCATATCTTCCCCAGTCATCTCTTCTAGACTGAATGTTCCCAGGTCCTCTACTTTTTATGTGAAATAATACCCATACTTATAAGTTTCATATTGATTCCCTTTGAATACATTATAATTATCAGTGTTTTCCCTAATATGGTTAAAATGTGATGGCCCCAAATTTTAATTGTATGCCATATTTGTATGGTATTGTGCACACCAGTGAAGAATATCCTGTACTATAACCCATGAATCAGACACTCTATTAGTGCAGCTTCAGCTTACGTCGGGTATTTTTTTTCTTAGCTATTCTTAACTTGTTGGCTCATATTAAAACTTACGGTCATCTAAAACCTGTCAGCTAAAATAACTGTTGGGGCTTTCCTTTTTTTAGAAGGCATTTCTGCCTTGATAATAAAACTTAAGTGTAATTCTAAGTGTATTAGAATAACAAATACACTTTCATGTGCTAACATCTGTAAGCCTTGGTTTTATATGACATAGACTCTCAATTTAAAAATTAAACATTTTTCTGAGAACTTTAGCTGGAAATTTATTTGATCTACAGTTTTGAAAAATGTTTTTGCCTCTTTATGTTTTAAATGGTTATGATTGAAAAGCATCTGACTTAGGTCCTCTTTTGCAACATGTGCTACATTTTTAAGAGAAAAATAAATGTATGTAATGAAATGCTGCCTGCAACTTGGGTAATTTATCTAAAGTCATAGATAGTCCATTGTAGGTTTTGTGCCCTAGAGCAAGATTTCTCAACCTCAGCACTATTGACATTCTTTGGATAATTCTTTCTTGTGGGTAGTTGTCCTGTTTATTGTAGGATAAGTAACAGCATCAATGGTCTCTACCCACTAGATGCCAGTAGCACACATCAATCACCACCACCTCCTCTGCAATTTGACCATCAGAAATTATCTCCAGACATAGCCAAATGTTACTGGAGGGCACAATCTCCTCCAGTTGATAAGTACTGCCCTAGGGTATCAGAAGTATTTCTTATGTCAAATAAGTAATAGTTTCTCCCTTAAATGTTTTCTGTAATTGGAGTTAGAACTCAATATTTTTAACATGATTTCTTTGTAGAGTTTTTTTAACTATAGAACAAGAATAAAGAACTTTACAAACAAATATTTTTTTAAAATTCCTAGTTTCATCAGTTTTTCTTTTCTTCCTAGTACTGCTTTTTATCCCAGTTTGTCATCCCTGCTTTGTGATATGGTCCATGATCTTAAGCGTAGTATGTGTGACTGTCCAATGTTTTAAAATTAAGGAATAAAAACCATACAAGAGTAACAAATACGGTATTGACTAGGAGGTTTATTGAGTTCAAATACTTGGTGTTTTGTAGCCCGTGATTAAATTTCTTGAAAATGTGCTTTGTATTTTATTAAATGCTTAGATTTTACAACTAAATTGTATTATCTTTATTCTTCTACTCCACAATATAGCCAGCAGCCAGCTTCGGGTGTAGCCTACTCTCATCCAACTACAGTTGCTAGCTACACTGTCCATCAGGCTCCAGTAGCTGCTCACACAGTTACTGCTGCCTATGCACCAGCGGCCGCCACAGTTGCAGTTGCCAGGCCTGCTCCAGTAGCTGTTGCAGCTGCTGCAACAGCTGCTGCTTATGGAGGCTACCCCACTGCACATACAGCAACTGACTACGGTTATACCCAGAGACAACAAGAAGCACCACCACCACCACCCCCAGCTACTACACAGAACTACCAGGTAAGAAAACTACTGGTTCCAGTAGTCTTGACATACATGCTTCAATGGCCATAGTGTGTGATACAGTGTCCAAGCCAGTGCTTTCAAACTTGGGTCTTCGGAAATCTACCTGTAATGATGAAGTGAGTGTGTGTTCATAGGTAATTTAGGGGCATCCTTGCAGTGAGTTTTATGTTAGTAATTCCCCTGAGTCCATTCAACTCCATTTTGTATCTGTGTCTGCTTTAATTAAAAATATTTTCCATTAATTACTGGTTAAATATTAACCAAGGTTTTCAGAAAAATGAAGACATAGTGAAGATGCTCCTTGTTTGTATTATGGCATTATTCATCCATTTGGAACACAGGCTGTGTCTCCTCTTTTGAGAACCATGAGCCTAAGCTATATAGGCCAAACAAGTTACATAGTGTTCTCTTGAAATTTAACAAGGACAGAAAACTTGCCTGTACATTCTTCCGCTCAAGGTATTCTTTCTTGGTATGTAACAAATTGATGACTGCTCTTACTCATTTAGTTGCTTTTGGTTCAGTCTTTTGGGGACCCAAAGATTTAATTCCCTTTTATAGTAGTACTATGTTTGTTATGACACTAAATTACTACTTACTAAATTTGGTCCTCATGTTTTAGTAACCCATTTTCTGTTTGTTTGCTTTTAGGATCTGTATTTATTTATTTATTAATTGATTGATTGATTTACATGTTTGTTTTGAGGGAGGGGATGGGGGAGGGACAGAGAGAGAATCCCAAGCAGGGTCAGCACAGAGACTTACACAGGGCTCAAACTCATGCAAGATCATGTCCTGAGCCAAAATTGAGTTGAATGCTTAACTGACTAAGCCACCCCAGCTCCCCTAGGATCTTTTTTTAAACTCAGATCCTTCTGGACTTTGCCTAGTTTTCCTATATTCTTTCTAAAGTATATAAATTTATTTTGTTCAGTAATGAATTGACATGTGAATCATAACATTAGTATTTTCTGTTACTATTGGGCAAGTTACTAAACTCAGAATTCCTTTTGCCATGTGTGATTGTTTTTATTATGTCCAGAGACACAATATAATAAATCCATTGTTTTTAATAGGGTGTATGCAACCCATCATTTTCTGGGCCTTGCCTATTTTTTCAGCCTTTCCACCTGCATGTCCCCCTCCTCACTTTATGCAGTGCCAGAGTTCACCCAGCTCACCTTGATCTTCACTGCTTTGGAGACTTATATACGGTGTTCTTTCTTCCTGGAACCTGAGTTCCCCTTTCCTCTCCACCCAGAAGCTGCTACTCATCATGTTGTTAATAGTGGTAAAGAATGAAAAGAAAGCCAGAGCAGTCAAAGCTTAGAACACACAGGTGGTCTTTACTATGAGATCCATTTTTAAAGATAGGCATTATTTTTAAATGCTTCAGTGATTTTTTTTCTGATGTGAAAGTTAAACATGCTGCTTGAAATGGTTTTGACCTTATTTGAAGTCCAAAATGATTGCCCTTTGTTTTGAATTTGATTCTTATACATAGGTCTGTAGTTAGTTGTTTTCCTTTATTACACTTTTATATGGTAGAGTTGGGGTTTTTTTCCTGCCACTTCACTTACAGGAAGACTTTCTTTTATTGCCTTTCTTTAGGACTCGTACTCGTATGTAAGATCCACCGCTCCTGCTGTAGCTTATGATAGTAAGCAGTACTACCAACAGCCAACAGCAACGGCTGCTGCCGTAGCAGCTGCTGCCCAGCCTCAGCCTTCTGTTGCTGAAACCTACTATCAGACAGGTGGGTTTTATTAGCATACAGTTTCATTGAAAACTACTAAAATAAATTGTTCACTGTGTTTAATGAAGGTACCCTTTTGAGTTCATCTAAGGTCATTGTGTTACATTACTTAAAAAGAAGCAGGTTTTAGCCTTGTTCTCTGTTCTGCTGTTGTAATGCTTTTGAGTACCAAAGAGAGAAGGCCATGGGGACAAATCCTAATCATGCCCTTTTCTTACAGTTCTCTTCCTGCTATGAAATAAGCTATACAAAAGGAGTTATGGTGATAATTTCTGGCCACATTCTTATCTTCACTAGAGATGCTCAGAACATATTGCTGCCTGCCTTTGTGTAACCAGTGGAGACCCTTTGAGGCCCCCCACCTTTTTAAGTTTTTAAATTTATTTTGAGAGAGAGAGTGCAACTGGGGGGAACGGCAGAGAGGGAGGGAGAGAGAGAATCCCAAGCAGCCTCTGTGCTGTCAGTGCAGAGCCCCACACAGGGCTGGATCTCAAGAACTGACCTCATGGCCTGAGATGAAATGGAGAGTCGAACACTTAACTGAGTCACCCAGGCACCCTGAAGATGGATTTTTTTAATAGAGATTGAATTGAAAACTTTTAAAAACAGCTGAGCTCAGAAAAGTAGACAGTTCATTTATTTTAATTATTTTTGAAGGACTGTGAGAGTGTGGGTAGAACCTTGGATTAGGAAAAAGTAGGACTAGCCTCTAGTACTGACTTTACCACTAATGTGGGTAGTGATTTTTACCTCTTTTCGTCTCTGTTCTCTTATTAGTAACTGAGGTAGTTGATCCAGATCTCTCTAGGGTACTTCTAGTTCTCAGATTTTTATGAGTCTCTTAAAAGTGGTATACAAATATTTTTATAGTTATGATTGATTTTTCTTATAGTTTGTTCTCTAATGATTTGTGAGTACACTGATCTGTAGTGAACTTCCTAGTTAATTATCAAAGTTAGATTGTATTTAAGAGTCAGAAGAGCCTTGGTTTAGTCTTGGGTCTGATATTGACTATGAGACTTGTAAGTCATTTAGCTCTTGGACATTAATTTCCTTTTGTAAAATGTCCTGATCTGTGTGTTGTGTGGATCAAGTTTCATACTACAGTTTTATAAACTGAACTGCTGTTTATTTAAGGTGCCTTTACTAAACTAAGCATAAGGTACTGGCCCTCTGATATTTGGGCCTTTATCAGGAATTAGACTTGTATGCCTTAATGATTGTTAATAAATGATTAATTATTTAGGGCTTAATAATAAGGTTCCTAAGATTCTTAAAGCAAAATAAATATTTTGAACATGGTCAAAGGCAGCAGAAACCTGAATATTAGCCATTTGAGAACAATTGCACTCAAGCCATTGGGCATTTGAAGATTTAAGTCAGTGTCACCTTATGAGTTGAAATTAGACTGAAGTTCACTATGGATGAATTAATAAAAATGTGATGAAGTATATTTGAACAAGTTGACGTAATTAAACAATGAAATTTTTATTGTGAATTGAAATACATATTTGAGGCTCGCTATTCCTAATATTAAGCATAATGCTCAAATTAGACTGACTAGCCTAAATACACACACACACACACACACACACACACACACACACACACCTTTTCTAAAAACGTTATTTAAGTAGTACTGCTATTCAGTTAGTTGTAAATTTGGACAAAATGCCATTTTGGAAATACATAGAAAGCATCTGAGAATGGGATATTAGATGAATTTATATAGATGTGTTATTTAATTGGTAGTAAGAATTTCAACCCTTGTGCTAAGAAAAAACTTCTAGCATCAGATTTACAGTTGATGTTTATACTTAGTTTATCAATATCCTTGAAAATTAGAAAAAATATCAAGGTACACCCTTCTAATTTTCTGATGTCTCTTTCCCATTTTAGCCCCCAAAGCAGGTTATAGCCAAGGTGCAACTCAGTATACACAAGCCCAGCAGACTCGACAAGTGACAGCCATAAAACCAGCCACACCAAGTCCAGCTACCACTACTTTCTCCATTTATCCTGTATCTTCCACCGTACAGCCAGTAGCAGCTGCAGCTACTGTGGTGCCATCTTATACCCAGAGTGCTACTTACAGTACCACGGCAGTTACTTATTCTGGTAAGATGGATAAGCTGTGTTTAAATGAAACTACCTTATTTTATGGAATGATCTTCCTCCCAGTAGCCAGAATTGAATTAATTGATAGTTGTTGTTATATGTGCATAATGTAACAAATAGACCGTACCCTAGGTTGTGTTTTTGTTGGTGGTGGTGTTACTGTTTGTTTGTTTTTTTATTTTTATTTTTTTAAGCTAGGAGATTTTAACACTGTAAAATGCTCTTTGGGCATTTGAAAGGTAGTCATGAGTCCTGGGCCTAGCATTGCAGTTAGAGAAAATAACACCTAGTATTTTACATGGTCATTTTTTTTTTCCTGACTTTTCCAAATGAATTTGAAAACTTAAGGTTGACATTCAGGGACTACCACTGACAAATTGTATGTATTTCAGCTGTGTCAGGGAGCTGTTTCTTTATCTTTATTATCAGGAATAAGTAATCTTGAAAATATTAGGTAGCTTTTGTAAACATCCATAAGATTGTTCTGTAACACATGTCTCTTAGAAGGACAGAATAGCTTTATTTTCCTTAAATAATCATATATTTTTTTATTATCTTATTAAGGAAAGTATGTATTTCCTTAAGTAATCATTATAGTGAGAGAAATATAATCACTAAAATCTTACTTATGTCCACTGCTTTTCTCATTTCTAGCTGAGGTACTTTGCATGTTTCAGTGATTAAAGTCATATGTTGTGGCAGCTCTTTCTGCCCACAGGTCCTGTCCCAGTGCTTTAATAAAACCACCTTTTTAGATTGGGGAAAAAAAATGACATGTTGCTTTTTTGTAGATCTGTAACCTTGCATTACTGTATGGTTTGTTTTGTTCTGCAGTTTATTACTTAATACCCCATCTTGTTCCATGGAGGATTTAAAGCAATATGGGCAATTTTAGTTCTTGATACTTTGTTGTAGCTTGGTGTTAGAAGACTAACTACAGAATTTTAAAAAAAAAATTTTTTTTCAGATTTTTTTTTTTTTTTAATCTCTTACCCTATGCAAAATTAAATGCTTATGCTGGGTGCTAGGTATATAATGGTGAGTTAGGCAGACATGGAGTATTTAGGAAAACCTTTTTTTTCTGGCTGGAATACAGGATACACGGGGTAAATCTCAAGATATGAGGCTAGAAATGTCATTGTGAAAAGCCTTGTAGGCTCTGTTATAGTCTTATGGGCCAAAAGGGTGCCAAAGAGGAAATCTGCAGAACAGGAGCAGTAGGAGCAGGTTTTAAGTTAACTGTGGCAACCATGCAGGAATGAATTAGGAGTGAGGAAATGTTATTATTCCTAGGTCTGTGATTCCTAGGATTGCCAAGATACTTTTCTGTCTCTCTTTATCTCTGATTAATAAGTTATAACTGCATATGGAATTATTTCAGTGAAATCTAACTAGACACATTTTAAAGTTTTGTTTTTCTCTTTTTGAGAGAGAAGGGGTGTGTGTGTGGTGGGGGAGGGGCAGTGGGGGGGTGGAGAGAATCTTAAGCAGGCTCCATGCCTAGCACAGAGACCAATGCAGGGCTCACTCTCACAACTGTGAGATCATGACCTGAGCTGAAATCATGAGTTGGACACTTAATCGACCCAGCCACCCAGGTGCCCCTGGGCACATATTTTAAAAATGTCCACATTAACTTCAAAATAAGGAGTACAATGTATTCTTTCCTATTGTTGCTTCTCTCTTACATGTTCTCCTCCCTCCCTTTTCTCTTTTCCATTGTCTCAGTTGCTTGAATAAATCTTACACAGGATGAAGTTAATTGTTTTTATTTACTGCTATATTACATGAATAATACATGTAAATACATTTAAAACTAGAAACTATAGATAAAAAAGGAGAAAAAATTAAATCATTGGACATCTACTCCTAGATACTTCCTGCCATTAACATTTTGGTGTATGTCTGTCTTTTCTTCATGGGAATATACATATACAGTATATACCTTTTTTTTTATAAAAAGGAATTTGTCTAATGCATATTATTTTGTTAATTGGCTTTTTTCTCATTGTGAATGTTCTTTCATGTCATTAAATTAAAGTATATCATCCTTTTGATTTGTTTTTCCCCAACTTTTTATTTTAGAAAATTTTAATTTTGCAGAAAAAATAGTACAAGTGTACTACATACCATTTAACTAGATTTATCAATTAATATTTTATCATATTTGCTTTATCAAAACACATTTTCAAGTGGTTCAGCAGTATATTTACAAGTTGCAGATGACTTGGTGCTTTGCCTAGAATTTTTCAGCATGTATTTCCTAAGAATAAGGGCATTCTTTTACGTAACCAAATGCAAATATCATAAAACGAAATTGAACATGGATATTATCTAATTTCTTTAATTGTCCTCAAGTGTCTTTTATGGCTGGGCTTTCTAGGTGTTTGGTGTGTTTGCACTTTGTTTTATTTATTTATTTATTTACTTATCTTATCTATTTAATGTTTGTTTATTTTGAGAGAATGTGCACAAGCAGGGGAGGGGCAGAGAGAAGGAGACAGAGGATCCCAAGGAGGTTATGTGGTGTTAGCCAGAGCCTGATGCAGGTTTCCTGCTCAAGAACTAGGAGATCATGACTTGAGCCGAAACCAAGAGTCAGGTGCTTAAGTGACTGAGCCACCCAGGCTCCCCATTTTTTTTTTTTAAGTTATTCTTTCTTTCTTTTTTTCTTTAATGTTTTAATTAACATTAATGTTTTAATGTTTATTTATTTGGGTGGGGAGGGGGAGGGAGAGAGGGAGACACCGTATCCGAAGCAAGCTCCTGGCTCTGAACTGTCAGCACAGAGTCTGATGCAGGTCTCAAACTCAGAAGTCATGAGATCATGACCTGAACCGAAGTTGGACATTTAACCAACTGAGCCACCTAGGCACCCATGTGCTTCATTTTAAATTCAGATTCTAATCAAGGAGCATGGATTGTACTTGGTTGTTATACCTTGTTAGTTTCAGTTTTCTTTAATGTAGAATAATCTCCTATTTTTATCTTGTCTCTCATGACCTTGACATTTTTGAAGAGTTCAGGCCAGTTGTCCTATAGAATATCCCACAATCTGGATTTTTCTTTCTTTATGCTTAGATTATGACAGCTTTTTAGTCAATAAACTACCTAAGTGAACTTTTGTATCTCATCACATCAAGAGCACATAAGTAATGTTATAAATTCTGTGTTGGTGATGCCAGCCAGGTATAATGACTATCAGATCTCTCCATTTTAAGGATACCTTTTTCACTTTGTAAGTAACCGAGTAATCTTTGGGCCTATTACCCAACTACTCTTCACTCTATGGTGTTAGATCCTTTGAAAATCTCTTAACTGAATCAAGTTCAATGATGGTGGATGTAAAATCCTTTTACATTGATTCTTAGCACTCTTCTCTAAGGAAGAGTCCCCTATTCCTTCTTTTTTAGTATTACTGTGGACTCATTCTTTTTTATTCATTGTAGTATAATCCATTATTCTCTTTTTTCTTTTTGAGGCACACATTTTCCCAAATTTGGCCAATGGGATCCATTTCATTTTTTTTTTTTTTTTAATTTTTTTTTTTCAACGTTTATTTATTTTTGGGACAGAGAGAGACAGAGCATGAACGGGGGAGGGGCAGAGAGAGAGGGAGACACAGAATCGGAAACAGGCTCCAGGCTCTGAGCCATCAGCCCAGAGCCTGACGCGGGGCTCGAACTCAGGGACTGCGAGATCGTGACCTGGCTGAAGTCGGACGCTTAACCGACTGCGCCACCCAGGCGCCCCTAATGGGATCCATTTCAAACTAGCTCCTGAGCCTTTTGGACTTGGCATCGTTATTCTTTGAGCCCCTATTTTGTTTTTGGCACAGTAAGATATTGCTGATACATACACTTAAAGCATTTCCTGCCCAAGTCTCACACTCAGCCATTTCACAAAGGAGCTGTGATTTCTAATATAGTATTTAGAAATCAAAATCTACGTTTAGAAATACGTAGTTTTTAATGGGTGCGTGATATTTTATTGTATGGATGTACTATATAGATTTTAGAGTTTGTGTCTTGGGATGCTTGGTTTCGTATTAGGGAAAAGCTAAGAACGACATTGAGTTAAATAATCCTTGTATGAAAAGATTTGTGTAGTTGTCAGTTGTTTTCCTAAGATAAATTCCTAGAAATTCCTGTTGTGTCGAAGGGTATGCACTTGAAAAAAAATGCAATACACAGTGTGAAATTGTCATCCAGAAGAGTCATTATTAGGGTGTCTGAGTTCTGTATATGCAGTTTTATATCAGCTACAATTTAGGTTAGCTATTTTTTTGGTGTCATTAAGAGGAGTTCTAGAATATTGGTATGTACTAAATGGTGACTTGTAGCATGCTGAGTTTTCTACTGAAGTGGTATGTTTTTGTTTGTGATATCTTACACTTAAAATTTCAGCTTATTTAACTTACTAATAAGCATTTTAAATAAGAGTACTTTTTAATTGAAACTGTTTTAGCCCTCAAAAATTGAGCTTTTACTTAAAGATGCAGCCTTATATTTGTTTTTCTACAGTGCTTTTACAAGAAATGTACGATTGTTTGCAAGTGTTCATAGGAGATTAAGTAGTAAGCTATAGTTAAGCTTGCCTTTTATTAGTTTTAGACTACATGTGTACAGATGGAGATTATTTTGTAAATAGTAAGCTTAACCTGGTTATTTTTGTGGTTTAGATAACTCAGTGTTTAAAGTACTTCACAATCTCTTAGCCTCAGTTTTCTCATCTGTCAAATAAGGAGATACTTGCCTTAACACACCTGTTTTGAGACTTCACTGTGTCTGGAAAACTGCCTGTCATACTGTGGATTCTCAATTGAAAAAAAAAAAAAGCAAAAAACTACAAGTCCTGGTCATCCAGCATTGTAGTATGCTGTTGCTGTTACCCTGTTTTTTTACTTTATGATACATAATTCATGAGGTTACATTTAAGTGGCATTTTTACAGTTTCTGTATATAACAGCTAGTTATTTAGAAAATATCTATTATAAAGATTCATACAAAAATCATGGTCCTAGCCAGTTTTAATCTAAAGGTAGCTTTAACTAGACAACTTAATGGATTTTAAGAGTGATATTTAAACTATTATTTTGAAGATACTTGGCTGTGAACTTAATTATATTTTTCTATCACATTCCTAAAAATTTTTTTTATTTTTTATTTATTTTTTGAGAGAGAGAGATAGAGAGCAAGCTGGGGAGGGGTAGAGAGAGGGTGAGATACAGAATCTGAAGTAGGTTCCAGATTCTGAGCTGTTAGTACAGAGCCCGATGTGAGTCTCAAACTCCCCAACTGTGAGATCATGACCTGAGCTGATGGACACTTAACCGACTGAGCCACCCAGGTGCCCCTCTTCTATCCCATTTTTAAATAACAAAGGACATTGGTAAAACTGACCAGAAAAGAGTTCATTGATCTGTATAGGTTTTCCCTTGATCATTTACATCAGTTGTTCTCTTTTTTCTTTCTTTTTAAAAAATGTTTGAGGGAGAGAGAGAGAGAGAGAGCATGTTAGCTGGGGAGGGGCAGAGAGAGAGAGAGACCAACCGACCCAAGTAGGCTCCAAGCTGTCAGCACAAAGCCCGACGCGGGGCTCGATCTCATGAACTATGAGATCATGACCTGAACCGAAATCAAGAGTCACACACTTAACTGACGAAGCTGCGCATGCGCCCCTACATCAGTTGTTTTCTTATCTGATCATATTCTTAGTATTGATATACCTACCTACTTCTCCCTACTTTTATTTTTAGATGTTTTCTTCTCTTATTACACTTTCTTTCTTTTTTTTTTAATGTTCATTTATTTTTGACAGAGACAGAATGCGAGTGGGTTAGGGGCAGAGAGAGAGAGGGAGACGCAGAATCCGAAGAAGGCTCCAGGCTCCAAGCTGTCAGCACAGAGCCCGACGCGGGGCTCGAACTCACAAGCTGTGAGATCATGACCTAAGCCGAAGTCAGATGCTCAACTGACTAAAGCCACCCAGGCACCCCTACCACACTTTCTATCTTTAGAAGCATTTATGTAATTTAATAACCTGACATAAAACTCTAGGAAGCCTTTTCATGCAAGTTATTTGGTCTCTTTTCTAGATATTTCCAGTTTCGGATGCCATGATTCTGATTTCCCATGCATCTTAAAATCCTCACCTTTCTAATTAATGTTTTCTTCCCTGCGTGTAGATGCCTTGGAGCTAGTGGGTCAGAAGTCTTATTTATTTATTTTTTTTTCCAATAAAGCAGTCTGCATTTGAGACATCAAAAGTTCAGTTTTCCTCAAGTAGTTCTTCTTTGCCATCCTGGCAACCAGGAATCTTTTTTTTGAGCCTTACATGACTCTTTTTCCACTCATTTCCACTTCAGAGAAAAAAGAAGTCTTACTGTAATGGGGTAAATAGGGAGTCCACCAAATTTCCAGAGATCTTAGTTTAGAAAGGGGGTAAGTTTTCTAGTTTTATACAGCAACTTTGTCAAATTGAAAACTTTTATAGATTTTTTAGGTCTATAAATCACTGAACATAAACAACATGTGTATATGTATTATGTTTATGTCAGTAACAAGCTTCATGTGCTTATTCATTACACTTTGAACAATGGACATGGATAGAATCCATACATTCAACCAGAAAATATAGTGCTTTTGTCTCTTTTGGAGGATGAAAAACAGTGTATTTGGTCCTTAAGTCCAAAATCTTCCGTCTGTTGTCCTGTATATTCATCTAAACTCTGGTTCCATATCACAAACTTCTGCTAGGGTTTATTCACCTTACTTCTCCAAACCAGCTTCTGTCAGCCACTTGCTTTTATCAGTTGCACAGCCCATCAGTCAATCAGTGGGTTTCAAAATCTTGGTGTGTTTTCTGTTCTTTTATTTCTTCTATTAGCCATCAAGTATATAAAAATCTTACTTTCATGCGTTTCTTTTTTTCCTACTAGTATCTTAGTTCAGACTCTTCCTCAAATTCAACCCTTCCCAAATTGTATTCAGAGGAATTCTTTTGGGAGAAATATTAACAGATTCCGTGACCATGTAACTTTATCACTCTGTTGTAGCCCACCAACTGAACTATATGTTTTTTGAAGGCAAAAACCAAATCTTAAACTTTTTCTATGCCTCTGTAACGCCTGGCATGTGTTGAGTTAAAAAGTTGATTGACTTCTATAAAAGGAAGATAAAGATTTTTCCAGGTTTTGTGAGATACACATTTGTAAATATGCACATGTAAACCTACCTATATTGGCGGAATTTATTGAATTTAAATTCATGACATTTAACTTGGCCTTTTGTAATTATTTAACATAATCTTTGTTTGATTTTATTTGTAAGGTACGTCTTATTCAGGTTATGAAGCAGCAGTGTATTCAGCTGCATCCTCCTACTACCAACAGCAGCAGCAGCAACAGAAGCAGGCGGCGGCCGCAGCAGCAGCTGCTGCTGCAACAGCTGCCTGGACAGGGACCACCTTTACTAAAAAAGCACCATTCCAAAATAAACAACTGAAACCAAAACAGCCTCCCAAACCACCCCAGATTCACTATTGTGATGTTTGTAAGATCAGCTGTGCTGGACCACAGGTACTTAACGTTGTATGTTTTACCATGAGTCTTCAATGGGTATCTTTGATAGTTAAGTATGGTTGATATTCTAACTCTTACGCTTACAGAGAAGGTTTACATTTTCTTTCCTGTTAGCTTTTAGCTAACACATACATATTTTCCTAAACAGTCATTTTCAAGGAAGTATTTGTACTGACACATAAGAATTCTATTAAGAAACTTTAAAAATGATTATGAATGTTAATGAAAAATGGGCAAATCGTACTTTTTTCTGTAAAGATACTTTGCTCTTTAAAGTAAAACTTAAATTTAACTTAGAAGCCTTATTCAGATTAATTGGGGTTGGGGGTAAGATTGAATTTTTATTTCTCTTTTATCATCCACAGCTTGCTTAACACAGTTGGCTCTTGATTTCCTTAGCTTTTCTTTGAGGTCCATTTTGAGTGTATGGATAGAATTTTACACCTGAAAAAGGATGACCATAGAGAGAATTCAGCTTTACATACTTGCATTAAAGATGAGAGGACTTTGTCAAGTGTGCTACTTTTTTGGAGCATATAACGAGCAGAAGAAAATTGTCTTTCTGAATTTTAAAAATTCTTAAAATAAATTTTTTTCTAATCTGTAGTTTTCAGGGTAACATTTCTAATAAGACTGATTTTTGTATATGCTTTGTAGAATATTACTATTGCTATATAATATCTTCCATGAGGGAATAGGAACTTTGGAAACAAGAAAGATGTGGGGAAGTGTCTTTTTCAGAAATATCAACTAAAGAAGCATAAAGTAAAGTATAGTAAAGCATAAAGTAAAATCTTTATGCCCCCCCAACCCCCATTTTGTTTTTTCCCTGATTGCTGCAGTTTAAAATGTGTGATTTAGGCATCAGTGTTTATAAAATCTAATATGTTCAACTCTTATCCCAACATAATTTGTTAATATTTAAGAGTGTGTGTTTTTATATAAAAATTTGATAAGCAGTTTGGCAGATAAAAGGCTTATTGGAAAGGAACAAACTTTGTAGTAGTTTCTTTCAGTTACATTGTTTTCCACTCCTGCCCCACCTGTGTACATTCTTGTTAATTTACTAGATAAGTTCTACTTTTAAATACCTATTTTTTAAGATTATTTTAAATTGTCAGTATTTCCTGTGTTACACCAAATTAGGAAATAATTGTGGAATATTTAATATATGTGACTAGTTATGTAAAACCTTTTTTCTCTCTATTTTGAGTGTGATAGGAAACAGTTTAATTGTGATTACATGGCTAGGGGAGAGGGAACAGGTGGGAATGTTGGTGTTGGCCCAGGATTAAACATGGAAGGAGGATATCCTACTCCACAATGGGCTGTTTAGAGGAGATGTTGCTATGAGTGGCCTAAGAGATGTTTTGAATATGTGATATACATATAAAAGGATAGAACATAGCTGTAGGATGACAGGTGAAAAGCAGCATTTTAATGAGTATATATAAGGCTGACCATTGTCTAGATTGTTCTGAAAGAACAGGCCAAGCAGGTCAGAGGGCAGTGCCTTAAGGGGCTGATGAGCCTTAGGGAAAAATATCACTGATATTGTAAGTTAGAGTCTAGGTGTAGACATAAGGAGGGAGAATAAGTGGGTTCAGATTTAAGGGGCCATGGTTCCCAGTCCTGGCTCCACCATTGTGTGGCTTTGGGCAAGTTGAAGGCCTTTACTTCTTCGGGCTTTTGTTTCCTCACTTCTGTGATAAGGACGTGCCCTAAATAATTGAGCCTCAGAGTGCTTCATGGAGCCAGTTCAGGCCACTGCAGATAACGAGAAGAATCAAATGGCTGGGTCTTAGGTCTCCCTCTTCTGTTTCAAAAACAGAACAACTTTCTCTACTTCTGTATAAGATTTCACTTGGAGAAAGGATTCTCTTTTTTAAAAATTAGAAAATCACTGTTTTAGGTTATCTTTAAAGTCCCATCCACCTCTGAGATTCTATGATGAAAATACATTTTTTTGCTAATTATACATCTGTCTTAAAAACAATTTTAAAAATAAAACATGAAAGAGGAACTTTTGGCCCCACTCAAGACAAAGCAAACAGTAGTCCTTAGTAGCCTCTTCACTTCTGCCTTCTTCACAAATCTGCCTTCTTTGATCATCTGATTCCAGACAGTTTTTTATACACAATTTCACTATTTTGTTGGTTAGAAGTACAATAATAATTTTTGCCTTGCAAATACATACAATTTTGGCTGTTACCTATTTTAAATAGGCTTTTGTTCGGGATGGCATGGATTCTATGTGAAAATGCATTCTAAGTAGAAAAGTCAGTTTTATAAATAGACATACCTGTTTGTAAAGAGTCTTGTTACCGTTCCATAATTTTTTTTTCATGATGTAGATACAGCCCCCCCATCTTAATTCTATAATGAAAATAATTTGTGGAATCATTACTCTGTCCATGATTATACATAAGCAGTAAAAGATGCAGATTCTTAAAACTGAAAGTGATGTACCTTCTATTGATAATGTGGCTAAGTATGAAAGGCCTTTGTAAATCAGTGTTAGATAAATGTATTCTTGGTAAACAAAGTGCAGAGAACCACAGATAAATATGGATAGATAAATAGATAGGGAATCCCACATGCTGTAATTGCTTTTACAGTTGTTTAGTACTCATTCTTAAATGAGTATTAGAGATTTGAGAATTGAATATTTTAAATGGTTATAGATAGAAAATTAGCAAAGCAAAATTTATCCTTTTTGTTTGAAACAGACTTATAAAGAACATTTAGAAGGACAGAAACATAAAAAAAAAGAAGCCGCATTGAAAGCCTCACAAAATACCAGCAGCAGCAACAACTCTACTCGTGGGACTCAAAATCAGCTACGTTGTGAGCTCTGCGATGTGTCTTGTACAGGAGCAGATGCATATGCTGCCCACATTCGTGGTGCTAAGCATCAGAAAGTAGGTGTTTTTTCCCCACACACCCTTATGTCTTACTCTCTTTTCTTTTACTTTTTCAATGGAGGGTTTAAGTATAGGTGACTTCAAAACTTAAAAACTGAGTGGATTACATGCCTTGTTTATATGTTAATATATATAAAAGTAATATCAGATAGTCATTGCTTAGCAAGAGAAAGACTGTAGACCTTTTTTCTTTAAATTGAACTCGATCATTTATTCTGCCAATTGGAAATTTGTTGTATGATTATTTGCCTCCTCTTGTCATACTTAAATCTAGGTTGGTGTGCATGTAGCCAAGTTGATTTCATCTTCCTCTGCCTTGGTTTCCTCACCTAGTGTTAGATGGAATATGTATCGAAATCTGCATCACAGAGATTGTTTTGAAAGTAATGAGTTTTATATATAAAAATACGAAAATATAGTTCCGATTTTCATTGTATAAAATCTTTTAGACAAACTCAAAAATCTACACTTTTTGAGTTTCCTGACAAATGTGCTTTTATTTTGTAGGTGGTTAAATTACACACAAAACTTGGTAAACCCATTCCTTCAACAGAACCAAACGTTGTTAGCCAAGCTACTTCTTCAACAGCTGTGTCTGCTTCAAAACCAACTGCCTCTCCCTCAAGCATTGCAGCAAGCAATTGTACTGTGAATACTTCATCAATTGCAACTTCTTCAGTGAAAGGTCTTACAACTACAGGAAACTCGTCTCTTAATAGCACATCCAACACTAAAGTATCAGCAGTGCCTACAAATATGGCTGCCAAGAAAACCTCTACACCCAAAATAAACTTTGTTGGCAAGTACTGAAGATTCTCTGTGTTCCTCCTAACTCTGTCAAAGTGATGTTTCTTCTCCATTCCAGAACTAACCCATCTGCTTTATGCTCTTGTATCCATCTCCTCCTTTCTTCTCTGGGACCTTCTTTAATCACATACCTGTTCTTTTCTCTTGAATTTTTAAGCAGTCCTCAATCTTCTAATGGTTTCTTCCTTATAGTCCTACAGGTTTCCCTATGTCTTCTGTAGTCTTAAAAACTATATATATTGTCTTATTACTATAATCTTCTCAAGCTGCAACCTAATTCTTACTTTCTCTACTTCTATGCTTTTTTTTCTAGTCCTTAGTCTGTTTTAGTGTTTCCACTCTATTCTTCTAAAACCACTTTCAGAAGTCACTAAAGACCTAATTGCCAAATCTAGTGGCTAGTTTTCAGTCTCAACTTGTTGACCTCTGTAATATTTGCTCAGTTGACTGCTATATCTTAGAGCGTTAAAGTCTCTCCTATGTCCACCCACCTCTTTCTCAGGTGTGTCTATCGGTTCTCCTGCCTTCAAGTTCATTAAATGGCGGTGCTCCTAAGATTGTGATTCTGGCTCTCCTCTCTAGTCACCCAGTGTTCTCAAGTTGTCTCATTCACTCCATTGTACAGGAACTTTGAAATCTTTCGGGCAAACTCAAAACTGCCACCTTTTAGAGCTATTTGTAGGAATTACCTGGTCATTATCTGTGTGGCTCTCTATGGCCAACCAGTGTCTCATTCTGTCACAAAAATACCATGAAATAATCTGTTTAGTTTGCTGCTTTTTTCACATGGAAAACTTCACTGACGTTATTTCCGCTTATTTATTCCCTCCTTCAGTTGTGTACATAGTTCTTTTATTTCTGTCACCACAGTATCTCTACAAAAAATGTCAGTTTTTCTTCATAGCTACTGCCTTGTTTTTAGGCCTTCAAAGTCTACTCCTCAGAGCTTTGTCTCTGATTGTGTCCAGTCTCCAATGCTTGTCAAAGTTATTTTGTTAAAATATGTGTCAAGTTGTGTTAGTTTCCTGCTTAAAAATTTTCACTGACCTTCTGGCATATCAGAAAAAGTTATATTCCTTATTTATGTCATCCCACAGTCTTTACAATCTGACCCCTGCCTCATAGGTCATCACCTCTTTCTGTCTAGTAATTGATGCTGATGTCTTCCTTCAGTTTATCATAGTCTTTTAAACTTTGTGTTGTTGTACGTGGTGTTCTATTTAAACATCATTCTCTTCTTTCTGCCTGGCCAAGTTCATGTTTGTTACTCTTCTTTCAAAGCACAGCTCAAGGGACACACCCTTGGTGAAGCCTTTCCTAACTGAATCATGTTAGAGGGGAGTGGCTCTTTTTTTTTTTTTTTTTTTTAAGCATTCCCATAATGTATTTCTACTTACTATAGCAGTTACCACATTGTATTGTAATTATTTGTGTCTTCTCTTCAATTGTTGGCACCTCAGAGGCAGCTACACAGTCTTACTCTTATATCACCAGAACTTAGGGCATTGCCCAGTTGGGAGGGAACTGGGGTTACAAACATGAATTAAGTTTAGACCCTACCTTTTTAGGTACTTGCTGTTCACTTTTAGGTACTTGATGTTAGTAGAGTCCTGGTGGGGATGGAGAGGATCCTTGGGTGGTGGAGAAGGGCAAAATCCAGACGTGTATTTATTTCATTAATAGGATAAAAAGGCCAAATGGTTTATATGTTCTTCAAAATTCTGATGGATGTCACCAGGAGTTTGACTATCGGTAGAAAAAATAAGAACTTTATCTAAAATTTTCCTGTATCAGATTATACATTTACACAAAAAGAAAGTTAAAATTACTGTAATTCTTTTATGTTCTTCCAGGTGGGAATAAGTTGCAATCAACAGGAAATAAAACAGAAGACTTAAAAGGAACTGAATGTGTTAAAAGCACTCCTGTCACCTCTGTACAGATTCCAGAAGTAAAGCCGGACACCGTGTCAGAACCAGTCACACCTGCATCTCTTGCTGCTTTGCAGAGCGATGTGCAGCCAGTAGGGCATGACTATGTGGAAGAGGTATTGATTTGAGAATACCATTCCTGTGAGATTAGATATAGGAGAGAAGTGTGTGACTTTGTTGCAGGCATGCTTTAAGTCTAAAATTAGATTTAGGTTACTTATGAAGGAATATAATATGGTAGGTATTATTGTTAAAGGTTTTTAAAAAACATGCCTTTGAAGCTTGCCTAAGTGATACCATGATTTTTTTAACTTCTGTCTTTCCCTTCCAACACCATCACTGTGATAGAAGGTAACGTTCCATTTGTTTGGTAGGCATTCTTGTATCCTTCCAAGTGTCCTGCAAATAAGAGTAAAAAAAAAAAAAAATTGTGAGCAGTGAAAATATTGACAGAGAGAGCCAGTATTTCTTTCTGAACAGTCACATAGTTTCACGTGTAAAATTAAAGGTGATTTAACAGATCGTGTTTATTTGGTTTCTCAAGCTGGTAAGAAAGCTTCTGGTTTTATAGCTAAACTCAGGAAATTGAGGAAAGAGGGAAAGTCAGAGGGTCTAATAAATATTTGCTGTTAGCAAAAGGCCCAACATAGAGTGGTATAGCACTACTCTTTACTTTCACTGTGTTGTAGAACATATGTAAGTTCTCTGAGCTTCAGTGTCCACATCAGTAAAACTTGGATATTTCCAAAGTTGTGAAGATTAAATAAAGTACCTAGAATAGCGCCTAGCATGTAGTAGGTTTTTGGTAAATATTTGTTCATTTTTTTCTCCCATCAAAAAAAAATTATGTATTCTGTTGTCTTCTTTGTTCACCAGATAGAAAACTAGAATGTGTAGTTTATAAGTAGATCACAATTTTAAAAGTACAGATCTTAAGAGAGTAAGATTTGGTTATCTAAAGAAATATACATGGCCAGGACACCTTAGAGAAATATTATCCAATGACACTTTTTTCCTTTTTTAAATTTACTCATTATTTTCATGAGAGAGAGAAAGTGCAAGTTGGGGAGGAAGAGAGGGAGTCATAATCAGACTCCATGCCCAGTGCAGAGCCCAAGGCAGGGCTTGATCTCACAACTGTGAGCATGACCTGAGCCGAAATCAGAGTTGGACGCTTAACTGACTGAGCCACCCAGGCACCCCTAGCCAATTGCATTTAAATCTAAATGTTTGCACATGGATAAAAGTGCTGAAATTAAAGTTAATATCAAAAGCAAATACATGCTAACACATCTTGCATCTTACAGTTAAGAATTTTAACAATTTATTTCTATAGGTTATCCTTTCAAAAAATTATAGACATTGTCTCTTATTTTTTCCCCTACTTCAAACTCTTAATTGTTTACAACATTTTCTTACCACAGAATCTGTGAAGGTTTGTGAATGAAATCTTCAACTGTAGCATACCTGTTATGATTCTTGGGTTTTTGTTGTTTTTTTTTTTCTCCCTGTGTCAAGGTACGAAATGATGAAGGAAAAGTAATTCGATTCCATTGTAAATTATGTGAGTGCAGTTTTAATGATCCCAATGCTAAGGAGATGCACTTAAAAGGGCGAAGACACAGACTTCAATATAAAGTGAGTAAGGTTTCAACTTTTTTTTTTTTTTAAACACAGCTTGGAACATTCTATGTGGAAAACAAAGCATCTAAACATAATGCACACAGTTTGTGAACTTCGATTTTAACAGCATATCATGTCTCAGTTAGATTCAGATGTTTGTTTTTACTGATTAGTTTGTTATACTTAGGTAAGAACAGTATAACCATATTTCATCACTTTTAGTGACTTGTAACATTGCTTGGATCCAGTAATATGTAAATACAGATAATTGCTTCACATAAAGTGTTTTGAAAGAAGTATCAGGTCTTCATTTACCTTCTCTGTCTTGGTAGAATTCTCATTAAGATGAATTTTGAGATGAGAAATTCTGCATTGAAAACTTGTTAAGTGTTAAGTTAAATACAAATCATCTATTTAAGTTTTGCTTAATATTTTTATTTATTTTTGAGAGAGAGCATGAGTAGGTGAGGGGCAGACAGAGAGGGGATCAGAGGATCCAAAGCAGGCTCCAAGCTGACAGTAGCAAGCATGACGCAGGCTCGAACTCATCAACTGAACTGTGAGATCATGACCTGAGTCAAAGTCAGATGTTCAACTGATTGAGCCACTGAGGCGCCCCCTAAAGTTTTTAATTAGGCTAGACTGATGCACTAGATTCATGTTTTCCCTTCTAAACACAGAGGTGGTGAAAATTAAAATAGTTGTTTTTTTAACCCCAACACTCAAACGTTTAGAATCATCTACTCACAAACAAGTAAAGGAAAATTAAATAGCCATTAGTTCCCTAAAGATTTCTTCAGTTGGTTAGCACTAAGTTATGTACTTTTTATGTAAGAAGTATGTCGTCATAAGTTTGGACAAGTAAGAATTTGGGGGTGTGGGAGGGGAAAACGAATGTTTATTAATGTATTCTGAATCTTTTCTCTAATACAACTTATTTACTGATCTTACTCTTATAATAGGAAATTTGAAACTGAAAGCCTCTATGATGAAGGAATATGTAGGATTGTATGATTCAATAATATGTGTAGATTGTTAGAGGGGCTGCTAATTTTTTAAATGTCTTTTTTAACAGAAAAAAGTAAATCCAGATTTACAAGTAGAAGTAAAGCCCAGTATTCGAGCCAGGAAGATTCAAGAAGAGAAAATGAGGAAGCAAATGCAGAAAGAGGAGTATTGGCGAAGACGAGAAGAAGAAGAACGTTGGAGAATGGAAATGAGGTAATATCTTTAACTTCTAGTAACATGATAGTGAGTGGTTCAGCCTTTCTAAAAAACAGCTATTCTGAGTATGTGACTCCCATTCAAAGCAATCCAGATTTGTTTAATGCACTTTTAATTTTCACTTTTCAGGAAGATCCTAGGTCTAGGAAAGAAATGCATTAAAATTAACTTATTGACTATTCTAGTATTTGACCGTGGCCTTGGTATTAGGAATTATGTGGTAAGTGGTACCTTATATATATTAAATATGTGAAGAAATAGTTTAATATTATGTATATATAGATTTATAGATTTCTTTTTTAAAATAAACTCTACACCCAGCATGGGGTTTAAACTCACAACCCCACAATCAAGAGTCACATGCTTTACTGATTGAGCCAACCAGGTGCCCCAAAGTAGTTTAATATTATAAGTAATATTATAAGTTTAATTATTATATTTAATATTATAAGTTTAATATTATAATATTATAAGTAAATGGCCTCTGTTTAAAACAAAACAGAACATTTGGTTACATAATAAAAATATCCTGAGTATAAGATTTGGTAGATTCTAGACATAAATAAAGTGTGGGTTTGTTTGTTTCAAAGAAATTTCTATTAAAAAGCTTTAGAGGCTACAGGGAAGGAGAAAGGAGAAAATTCATCTTCTGGAGATATATAAATGTTTGGTTTTATTAGTATAACTGACATATCTTTAAATAATGCAGTTCAGGGGCGCCTGGCTGGCTCAGTTAGTTAGTAGAGCATGTGACTCTTGATTTTGGGGTCATGAGGTCAAGCCGCACATTGGGTGTAGAGCTTACTCGAAAAAATTAAATAGTACAATTCAGTGTTTTTTAAGTAATGTTCACAGAGTTGTGCAACCATCACCACAATCAATTTTAGAACATTTTTATCACCCCCAAAAGAAACCACAAAACCCATTAGCAGTCACTCCCAATTTTCCCCGGAATTCCAGCCTTTACCCCCAGGCAATCACAGTATACTTTGTCTATAGACTTACTCTGGAGATTTCATATAAATGGAATCATACAATATGTGGACTGTTTTGTCTGCCTACTTTTGGTTAGCACAATGTTTTCAAGGTTCATGCATGTTATAGCATGTGTCAGTACTTTGTTCCTTTCATGGCTGAATAATATTCCATTATATGGAGGTATAACATTTATCAGTTGGTAGACATTTGTGTTGTTTCTGCTTTGGGGCTATCATGAATACTGTTGCTAGGAGTTTTTGTGTACAAGTTTTAAAATACAATTTCAGAAAACAGGAACAGAACCACAATGTATCACTTTTATAACCTACTTTTTTCATTTATATGTCAACTTTTTAAAAAATGAAGCTGTATCTTTATTTTCGGGGCAGCATAGTATTCTCATATAGATGTGTAATTTTCTTTATAACTTTTCTCATGTTGTTAGATATTTACATTGTTTCCATTGTGTCTTTAATCATTACATTGACAGTCTTTGAGGTTGTATTATTGCATAAAACATGATTGGTTGCTAATAATAAAATCCCAGAAACAGAAATACTTGTTTGAAGGAGACCTGTACTTTTTGCCTATACTGAGTAGTATAATTCCAGTGGTTTAAGCTATGCCTTTTATTCCTGTGACTTAACTCATTTCATAACTGGAAGCCTGTATCTCCCACCTCCCTATACCCATTTTGCCTATTTCCCCATTCCCTTCCCCTCTGGCAAAAATCAGTTCTCTATATTTATATGTCTGAATTAGCTTTTTGTCTGTTTTTTCATTTGTCTTTATTTAGATTCCACATGAGTGAAATCGTAGGGTATTTTGTCTTTTTCAGTCTGACTTTTTTCACTTAGTATAATACCTTCTAGATCCATCCATGTTGCAACAGCACTATCTTATCCTTTTTTATGGCTGCATAATATTTTGCATGTGTGCGCCAAACCTCCCTTACCTATTTGTGTATCAGTGGACACGTAGGTTGCTTCCATATCTTGACTGTTAAAAATAATGCTGCAATAAGCATAGGGATGCATTATCTTTTCAAATTAGTGTTTTTATTTTCTTTGGGTAGATACCAAGTAGTGGAATTATTGGATCATAAGGTATTTCTGTTTTAACTTTTTGAGGAACCTGCATACCTTTTCCACAGTGGCTATACCAATTTACATTCCCACCAACAGTATACAAGGGTTTCCTTTTCTCTACATCCTTTCTCTACATCCTTGCCAACACTTGTTATTTCACAAATTGAATTAAAAAACATTTTTTTTAATGTTTTTTAATTTTTGAGAGAGTGAGAGACTGAGCACAAGCGGGGCCGGGGTAGGGGCAGAGAGAGAGAGAAACAGAATCCAAAACAGGCTCCTGTCAGCACAGAGCCCGACAGTGGGGCCCGAATTCATGAACCTTGAGATCATGACCTGAGCTGAAGTCTGACTCTTAACCAACTGAGCCACCCAGGCACCCCACAAATTGAATTTTATTTCCTGTTCGAGGACTTGTATTTTTTCTGTGGTAATTGCCTATTCACTTTTTATTTTTTTATTTACCTGTTGTTGATTTCTATAGATTACTATATTGTAATAGCCTATTTTTTTTTTTAATTTTTTTTTTCAACATTTATTTATTTTTGGGACAGAGAGAGACAGAGCATGAACGGGGGAGGGGCAGAGAGAGAAGGAGACACAGAATCGGAAACAGGCTCCAGGCTCCGAGCCATCAGCCCAGAGCCTGACGCGGGGCTCGAACTCACGGACCGTGAGATCGTGACCTGGCTGAAGTCGGACACTTAACCGACTGCGCCACCCAGGCGCCCCTGTAATAGCCTATTATTAGCATGTGACCTTTAGTTTTTGCTGTTATGTGTTTTTATTTTTTATTTTAAAAAAGTGTTGTTTTTTTTTAATGTTTATTTTTTGAGAGAGAGAGAGTGAGCATGCGCGAGCAGGGAAGGGGCAGAGAGAGAGGGAGACTCTGAATCCGAAGTAGGCTCCAGGCTCTGAGCTGTCAGCATAGAGCCCAATCAGGGGCTCAAACTCCATGAACTGTGAGATCATGACCTGAGCTTAAGTCAGAGGCTTAACCAACTGAGCCACCCAGGCTTTTAAATGTATTTAAATATATCATTCTCATTTTTTAATGAATAATCTGCCTTTGTAATGTATTAGAAATTCTTTGTACTTAGATTACGCAGCTTTTCTTCCTTTGCATATAAATATTTATTAAGCACCTACGATATGCTAGGAAATTGCACATAGTGTGTTAGGCACTGAGTATGGATTGGTAAACAGTGGATAAAAAAAATCCCTGCCCTTATATAACTTAAATGTTTCTCTTCAGTAATAACAAAAAACTATTCAAAATTGGTATGTATGTGGTTTTCCAGAGCCTTCAGCTTGTTGTGATTCATTTTTCTTCCAAGACCTAAATAATAGAGAAGTATGTTTCTGTACTTCTAAGTCAGATGACCTAAAAAGCACAGCTTATTCCCCACCTGAGGAAATTGGTAATTTTTGCAGAGCGACTTGAGAAGCATACTTCTTTCTTAATGTTTTATATTTAATAAATTTATCTACCAAAACCTTATTGCTATCAGAATTTTCTTTTTTTTTTTTTAATGTTTGTTTATTTTTGTGAGAGAGAACTGGGGAGAGGTAGAGAGTAAGAAGAATAGAGGCTGTGCGCTGACAAGCATAGAGTCCGATGTGGGGCTCAAACTCACAAAACTGAGATCATGACCTGAGCCAGAGTTGGTTGCTTAACCAACTGAGCCACCCAGTTGCCTCTCAAAATTTACTTTAGAGACATGATTTCCCTTGGGAGTTATTGATATCACAGTATAAAGCTAAAAGTGAAGATAGAACTCGGAGAAAGTGAGATAATAAAAAAGAAGTTAGATTCTGAAGAGGACCATTAAAGCAGAGGTTATACACTAGCTGCCTGCAGTCCCAAGTTCAGCCCATGGGTGTTTTATTTGGTATACATGGTATTTTTAATCTGAACCAACATTAAAGATACTGAAAGCTGTTAATAAAATCTTGATGATTTGGGGATTGCAATCTTTATTCCCTTATAGCAATAATTAATAGAGGCTGGGTGGCAGCTGTTCTGTCTAGCCAGAACATGTGCTTTCTACTTTACCGTAGTCCTCTCCACTGTTAATATATCCCCCAAAATGAGACAGAATGTGAGTTGCCATTTATCACTGTCTTGCACTGTTGTTTTTCCTCATAGTGTACAGATGTCTTTGTCTCTGCCTGTGTCATAAATGGGGAGATTAAAAATAGTCTTAAGAGATTCTCTCCAGGGGCGCCTGGGTGGCTCAGTAGGTAAGCATCCGACTTCGGCTGAGGTCATGATCTCAGAGTTCTTGAGTTCAAGCCTCACATTGGTCTCCATGCTGACAGCTCAGAGCCTGGAGCCTGCTTCAGATTCTGTGTTTCCCTCTCTCTCCGTCCCTCTCCCATTCGTGCTCTGTCTCTCTTAAAAATAAATAAATAAACATTAATAAAAGAGATTCTAAGGAGAAAATAGGAGAGAGAAAATTCTTGAACTTGTGCTTCAAGTCTTTCACACATGTTACTGGTCTGGCCATTTGAGGTAGCCATTTAAGTTTACCATCTTGCCCTTAAAGAGGGAGAGATTGGAAGGAACTCTGAGGTTTCTGGTGTTTGCTTCCTCAACTTTGACATCAGGCTATGAAATTTTGTGTTGCTTTTCTCTTTGTTTTCTCACCTCTTCACTCATATTTGCCTCCTTACTTATAGATGGAAGCAAATGAAGGACATTAGATACAGTAGTGGAAAAAAGGCATTAGGTAGGCTGATTTGGGAAGGTTTTTTTTAATTGTGCTTTTTGTCATTATTGATGTAAGTTATTGGGGTGTATTTCTCTGAGGCTTGTAGCATTATTCTGTATTTTCAGACGTTACGAAGAGGACATGTACTGGAGAAGAATGGAGGAAGAACAACACCATTGGGATGATCGCCGCCGAATGCCTGATGGAGGCTATCCTCACGGTCCCCCAGGCCCATTAGGCCTTCTGGGAGTCCGACCAGGCATGCCTCCTCAGCCACAGGGGCCTGCAGTGAGTATCCACTTTGTCTACATAGGGGGTGAACGTGTAAGATTGGTTCAGTATTACAGGATAACAGTTTGGGGGGCTAATGCTTAGATTTAATAGTCTCATAATCTCCATGTAAGTTTTTCATCTGATACAGAATTTTCCCTCCTTTTTTTTTTTTTTTTTTGTTAACAGGTTCCCAACTCATGCTTTATATATAAGGAGTTGATAGAGTTTCCATGAGTCTTTCTTACTTTCAGTATAAGCTATACAGGAGAAGAGCTTGTTTTTTTTTCTTTTTCTTTTTTAAGGTTTATTTTGACAGAGAGCGAATGAGCACACCCATGCAAGCTAGGGAGAGAGAGAGAGAGAGAGAGAGAGAGGGAGGGAGGGAGGGAATCCCAAGCAGGCTCCATAATGTCAGCATAGAGCCCAACACAGGGTTCGATCGTACAAACCATGAGATCATGACCTGAGCCAAAATCAAAAGTCAGACATTAAACAACTGAGCCACCTAGGCGCCCTGAACTTGATCAACTGTTCTTTAACATTAGAGATTTTCTATCCTTTGTTTTTCTTGAGATCAGCAAGAGCAACCAATTTTGAAGGCAGCTGCTTTGCCTTCAAAATTATTACCTTCCCATTACCAGTTGTTAAGAATCTTTTTTTTTTCCTTCTTTGAATCCTGACCATCTACTACTACTTCTGAATTGAGTACAGGATAAGGGGTAGGTAAATGGTTCCACATGAGCATCACACTTGATGTATTAGGGAAACTATAGGAAAGATATGCATCTTGAGAGTTTGTGTTCCATGGAAGCTGTAAAAGAAGAGACTCCTGGGTTATGAAGAACATTTCATAGAAGTTTAGATTACAAAAAACAAGAGGATTTTGTTTTGTTCTGTTGTCCAGAGAGCACAGCAAATTCCTCCTCTTTATTTAACCAATTCTCTTTCTCATTTGTCTTTACACAGAATAAGCATTTGTAAGACCTGTTTTATCAAAGCCAAAAAAAAAAAAAAAAAAGTGTCACAACCACTGGTCTTTAAAATTGAGTAAAAAATATTTTCATAACCTTAGATCTGGTGTTTAGGCAAACCATATATACATACAGAGATACGTACTCTTGATAGTATAACTTTCCATAGTTGCATTTTTGTTTTTACTGAAATGGAAAAAGAGAAGATAATTTTAAATAGACACTTGGCATCATTGTCTTTTCTTATTAAAAAGATACGAAAAACATGTAGAGTTGAAAAATAGTTTATTTTTGCCCAGGAAACATCGTTTTTAAATGAAGTAACTTTTTTTTCTCTAGCCTTTACGTCGTCCTGACTCCTCTGATGACCGTTATGTAATGACAAAACACGCAACCATTTATCCAACTGAAGAAGAATTACAAGCAGTTCAGAAAATTGTTTCTATCACTGAACGTGCTTTAAAACTTGTTTCAGACAGTTTGTCTGAACATGAGAAGAGTAAGAGCAAAGAGGGAGATGATAAAAAAGAGGGAGGTAAAGACAGGTGTGTTTTCAGAGTTATTTACTTTGCATATTTTTGTTTTCTTTGCATGGGCTTCTTACACCTGAAATAAAAAGTTACAAAGACTGAAAAACTCTCTGGTGTGAATGTACATGTCTTATCTTGCTTGGTCAGATATTTAATGTATTCAGCTGCTGTTTGCTAAAATGAGAAATGCACAGTTCCTTAGAATCTCCAACCTTGTGATTTTACTCATTTTATTGAAATTTGTATAAAACTATTTTGAGTCTGTTTTCAAAGCAGCCTTGGTAATTGGATTCAGCTGCTCTTCAGTTTTTATGTGTTGCATCTGTCCCATTTTCAGTCTTTGTTTTAGCAACTTTTTTTCCTTAATGCACTGACCATAAAGCATAAAGAAGCTTAAGCTTTAGGAGTATCTTTCATATCAGTTTTGCATATAACCTCTCAATAACCTCTCATTTTCCTTTTACCATTTGGAAATATTTTTATATTAAACATGACTCTAATTTATAAAGTGAGACAGAAATGTTAATGTTCTTTGAAATTGTCCCTGTGAGAACTTAGCTCTTCATTTATTTATCCATATTTCTTACCTAAATGAAGTATACTTCTTAATAATATTGAATTCATCTTTATACTGTAGTTGATGAAACTTTTAATAGTGTAAAAAATATTTGATTTACTATTGTGTAGATATTATGATGGCTCTGGTTGAGAAGAGAAATGTCATAATATAATTTGATTTCACTGCAGAGCTTTAAAAGGAGTTTTGCGAGTGGGAGTATTGGCAAAAGGATTACTTCTCCGAGGAGATAGAAATGTCAACCTTGTTTTGCTGTGCTCTGAGAAACCTTCAAAGACATTATTAAGCCGTATTGCAGAAAACCTACCCAAACAGCTTGCTGTAAGTATTATGGAAATGTTCATTTTTACCCCTTGTCTAGTTCAGAAGTTTTTGGCAGGACTAACTGTGCTTTAGCCTAAACCTAAGCCAGCCTTTAAATTATTGGCTTGACTTTCCATATTGAGTTTTTTGCTTGGTTGTGCAAACTGGCAGAACTATTTTCTACTTTGTCTTTTTAGGTTTTATAGTGCTTGTATTTGACATGAAGCCATCGTGCTAATTTATTTAAAAATGTTAAATTTTAGCACATGTCTTCTTCCTGTTCTTTTTCCAAGATTTGAAGCATAGGAGAGAAAGCAGTTGTTATAGGACAGAAAATGGTATTTCTTTCTTTTTTAAATAAAGACCCTGTATTGCAAGCTTAAGTTTTGAAAATTCATGAATCTTTTGCCTATTTAACTGAATGCATGTTTTTAATAAAATATAATAAGAAATAGTCTTTCCAGTTTGAATTTCCTCCGTTTTATTGTGTTTGATATATTTTGTTGTTGTTTTGGTTTTCTGTGTTTATGATGGTAGGAATTACTTCTCCTATCTGTGTCCACTAAGTTATGGCAATGCACAATTAGTAGCATACCCCCTTCTGGTCTTACAAAAGCAAACTTTTTTTGTTTCAAGTTTTATACATTAGTTTGTCAGAATCTCAGATTAAGATTTAAAATAAATATCCTTGAATAATTCAATGTATAAAATTTATTTCAAAACCTTGCAATTTAATTAGGCATTCTAAATCCAAGGATTGACATTTCATTGATAATATGTATTCTACAGCAGTGAGTCAGAATAAATACTGCCTGACAACAGCAAAGCAACTAATACTTTTAAGTATTAGGAACCAGCAGAATTAGCATTGTGCATCTACTTCTTATTCCACTGTTGAGGCTGCAAGGGCAGTGGGGTGCACAACGGGGGGAGAGAAAAAGGTTTGAGGACCTTGAGAGAATTATGTAACTTGCAAGAAACATCTTGATATTAATTGTGATGCTTAGTAAAACTAGAACACAGGAAATATATCCTAGGGAAATAATCAGGCACTTAGGCTAAAAGCAGAATACTCTTTCCAAATCAGTCTGTACTTTATACAAGTGGATAAACAAAAGAAACAGAATTAATTCATCATTATCATTGTCAGAGTTGACATTTATATAATACTTAGTATGTACTAGGCACTATTTTAAGTGCTTTATGTAGTTAATTCATTTTGTCCTCCAACGGTTCTATAGGTTAGGTAAAATTACAGTCCCCATTTTACAGAAACAGAGGAGTTAAATAATTTGCCCATGTTCACATCACTAGTAAAGTAACAGCTAGAATTTGAATTTAGATACTGTGTTATAAATATAAACAGTATAATTTCTGTAGTCTTCATTCATTAATGTAAACTGGGGCTTATTAAATATCTTCCAAATTTCAGTGATTCCTGGTTTTGTGGATGTTAATAAAGACTTTTTGCTCTCTGATGAAATCTAGATCTGTTGATTTCACAATTTACAATGGGAAAGGTTGAATTATGCTTCTGTTAGGTTCAAATATCTATTTAAGTTTCAGTCAAATTCTGCAAATGTACAAGTACTTAGCTACCCAGGTGCTATTTGGAAGGTACAATAATAAATACAGCAGTGTTTCTGTTACCCAAGAACTCATAATCTAAGAGGGACATATCCACATAACTCATGGTACAGATAATGGTAATCCTAAAAGGAAAGTATAGTAAGAAACTAATGATATTTGCATTATTGCAAGGCTTCTTGGAGGAAGTAGTATATTATCAACTTTTAAAATGCTTGAGGTAGGGAGGGGCAGCTGGCTGGCTCAGTCAGTAGAGCATGCAACTCTTGAACTTGGGGTTATAAGTTCAAGGCCCATGTTGGGTGTAACGATTACTTAAAAATAAAATTTTTTAAAGTAAAATGCTTGAGGTACCGAGAAAATGAAAGATCCATAATGAAATTGCTTTGTCTGATAATGTAAAAGGTCCAACTAATTTGTTTGTACTTTTCATTACATAGGTTATAAGTCCTGAGAAGTATGACATAAAATGTGCTGTGTCTGAAGCGGCAATAATTTTGAATTCATGTGTGGAACCCAAAATGCAAGTCACTATCACCCTGACATCTCCAATTATTCGAGAGGAGAACATGAGGGAAGGAGGTTGGAAAGCCATTAAGCATTCTACTTTTCTATTAACTTTTTTTTTTTTCATTTATCTACTCTTTTAAGATGGCATTAAGCCCTAGAAGGCAACATGCTGGCATTAAATATGAATTTGATAGATTTGACTTATAGCAACCAGTTTTGCTTAAGATCACTTCCCAGAAAGTAAATGTTTTTAGTAATGTACTTTTACATAAAACATTCATGGTATTGTTGATTTTCTAATTTTTTTCTTTTCTTGCTAACCTCAGATTTCTGGAAAAAAAAAAGTTCAAAATTATTCTTGCTGACATAGTGGACACATGAAAAAAATTAAAGAAATGTTGGTAGTAAGGGGCCACAAATTTAACCTCTATTAAGAAGTTCTTGTTCTTGCCTTGTCTTACAAAAAAGACAAGAGAGTTTCATAAATAAAATTGGTTTAATACTTGTAATGCTTATACTTTAAGAGGCATTGTTATAAGTGTAATCATGGATTTGGCTTGTCCTCAGGTAAATACTTCTAGTTCTCTGAGGTTGCTCTTTGGTTTGGAGAGTTTTAATAAATGCAGAGCATCCTAATGCACATAGATTTGGGCGTTTGATCCCAATATTATTATACTAGATATATTGAAAAATAAATGGTGTAGGTGTAGTTAGTAAGTTCTAGTACAATTCAGGGTTTTTAAACTTACTTTACAATTGTAGAATATGAAATCCTGCTGGTGCCAGCAATGTTGCTTTAGGGACTGTTCTATAACATTTTCAAAGCTTCGAAAGCTTTTAAGCCAAAAAGCATGGTCAGTGTCTGCCTTATGTTGGTTCTGTTGTTTTATGGGTCAGATAAAATTTACTTTGTTTCCTTTCATGTTGTTTTTGTACATCTTAACTTGTTGAGTATGGAGTTAGTCTACACTAATATTTCTTTGTGATAAAGGAGAAGAGAAAATATTATATATTGAATATTAAAATTAACTTGTCTAAAATAGCATGATTAGGCTCTTAGTTGTAGTCCCTTTAAATTTGTTTTTTGTTTTTTTTTTACAGCAAAACAATTTTTTTAAGGCTCTGGGCTTTCCACAACCCAGGAAGAGAACACTTTATTTAAAATGTAGTCATTGGGAGACATGTCTCATATACTTCATATGTATACCATATCAGGGCTTGTATGTTGTAAAAGCTTTGCATCTTAAAAATAAATGGGTTTTGTGAAAAGGATCTTTTCTATGAACATGAGTTTCCACTCAAGGTCTAGCTGTGGATATTGCTAGAAAAACAGTTCCTGAGTCAATCTGGTCAATTCATATGCAACATATGACCCTTAGGATTGGGGGGAAAAATTCTAATATGATATAAATAAAAGTTGCTATATTTAAAATAGGATGAAATTATATTCATATAACCATTTAACTATTTCAGAGCACATTTTATCTAATTATATTTAACTGTAGTTAAATTTGTGCAATATCAAGTCATTTTATTATGTTGCAAAAGTCTAAAGTTCATATCGCATTTGTGGTAGTCTTTGATAACCCATCCCTTCTAAAGGAAACAAAATTATATTTTTGTCTGACCCAGACTTGAGTTAGAATTACTGTTCTGGATTTCATAAATACTTTGGTGAGAGAAATGATCAGTCCAAAATTGGAAGATTTTACTTCAAGACACTGAGCTGAAAAGTTGGATGTGCAAAAACTGTAGAGACATTGATAGAGTGTTCCTTGCTGCAGATAACTGCAGTAAACTATGTCTTTAGCTTCATTATGAAGATTGCTTCTTTCTTGCTGCAGAATAACGGTATGTATTCTCTCTCACTGCAGCTCCCAATGCTCTGTGTCTTAAAATCACGTAAAGCCTATAGCTTGCTTTGGGGAGTTAGTCCAGAGGGTAAGGAAGGCTTTGCCGGAAGAGCAATTATAAATCTCAAGACTTGCGCAGTGTGGTAGCCTCTTTAACGGTCCTGGTTAATACCAAAAATTATCTTTAAATTACTTAAAAGAAATTATTAAATTGCCCAAATAACTGTTAAACGCATGACAGATCTATTTTATGGTACTGTGTTTGGCAGTTAAACATTAAGTTAACAGTTAATTGACTTGAAGCTTGAAATGTTCAAAATGCTCTAACCCTTGCTACAGAGTCTTTTCTGCAGCAAGACAAGTATTGTGTGTGTTTTTTTCCACCTGTAGCTTATCAGGCCCGGTCCAAAGCCTTCTAGCAGAGGGGATTGATTCCTGTCAGGGGTTGCTGCCAAGACATCGGAAGGATTTTTGACCAAGGTTTTCAAAAGCTCAGTGTCACACCTGCCATTTGATTAAGGAGGGATTTTTGGATGCAGAGTCTGGCATTTATTGTCCTTTGTGTGGCTGTTTTGTTTGTTTTGTCTTTGTCTATTTAGAATTGAGCAGTGTTCACACTAGTTTTTAAATGGTTGTGGGTGGATTATATATTTTATATAACCATGTTAATTTAAATTAATACATTCCCATTAACTTTTAATCATAAAGTAGTGTGGACACAGCATGTCTTCTAACTGGTGATTAACCCCTTAAAATTTATGAAATACATTTATGTAGGGTAAGAATTTGCCTTTTTTTTTTTTTTTTTTAAATTAACTGAGTTTTGTTAACTGGGTATTAAGCAACAAGTATGATTTTTGTTTTGTTTTGTTTTTAGTACAGTATACCTAAGGGGTTAATCCACTTGAAATATAAAATGGGTGCAAAAATCCACACTCTAAATTTAACAGAAACTTCCTACTTACAGCTCTTAATTTGTTTTTAAATTGCAATAGGTGTCTTGGCATCTTTGAAATTGTCATTAAAATTTTCAAAGTTATGAATGTGTGCTAAAAGAGAAATTTTCTTACATTTTGGAGGAAATTATAACATTGTAAAAATAACATTTAGAAATTCAGAAACTTTTTAGAAAGAGATTGCACATTGTCACCTATTTGCATTCTAGCTTTGACAAATAATGTAAATAAGGGGACATGGAAAGAGGATCCTTAAGCAGTTCTGTAATCTTGCTTTGAGGAGTGGTTTCTTGTTTCTTTTTTTCTTTCTTTTTCTTTAGTTAGCTGTGCTTTCCTGTGTCCCTTTTCCTTATCTCAGAATAGCCCCATTTCTAATGGTCAGTATGTTTCTGACGTTAGTAGTAGGTCTTACAGGTTTTAGGATTATTTACTGTTTTTTTAAAATATTAAAACATTTTTTAATGTTTGCTTATTTTTGAGAGAGAGACTGAGTACACGTAGGGGAGGGGCAGAGAGAGGAGACACAGAATCCAAAGCAGGCTACAGACTCTCAGCTGTCAGCACAGAGCCCGACACAGGGCTCGAACTCACTAACTGCGAGATCATGATCTAAGCCAAAGTCTAAGACGTTTAACCAACTGAGCCACCCAGGCGCCCCACCCCGTTCACTGTTTTTTTTTTAACACTAATATTTTGTCTTGACAGTTTCTTTTTAGCACTCAGATTCCTCTTTTAGTGTTAATTCTCAGAATGTGGCGTAGTGTGGCATAGTGTTCTTGGATTATCTGTAAATCGCCCTTCTAACATGTCTTCTAAAAAAATCTGTATCATCTGATTATTTGAAGAGCAAGAATTAAGAACAGAAAGCCCATGCAGGGGAGAGACTTCTATACCATTTCTAAAATAAGGTTTTTTATGTGTTACCTATTCATAATAAGAGCAAGTGTCTTTTTTTTTTTTTTTATGTTTATTTATGAGGGAGAGAGTGGGGGAAGGGCAGAGAGAATCCCAAACAGACTGCGTGTTGTCAGTGCAGAGCCCGACACAAATCAAGCCATGAGATCATGACCTGAGCTGAAATCGAGAGTTGGATGCTTAACCGACTTAGCCACCCAGGCAACCCAGGACAAGTGTCTTTTAAGATAACTGAATGCTCATACAAAATATACAATTAAATAACTTACTTAAAGTGGCCCTGTACTCTTAAAACCAACTTTAACTTCTTTTATCATGTATTTCTTTTGACCCTCATACTCCTTTGGTACCTTCAGTGATTTATTAAATTATATCTTAAAAAAAAATTTTTTTTTATCGTTTAATTTTTGAGAGAGAGACAGAGACAGAGACAGAGTGTGAGCGGGGGAGGGGCAGTGACAAGGGAGACACAGAATCCAAAGCAGGCTTCAGGCTTTGAGCTGTCGGCACAGAGCCCAATGCGGGGCTCAAACCCATGAACCCCAAGATCATGACCTGAGCCGAAGTCAGACGCTCAACCAACTGAGCCACCCACGTGCCCCTAAATTATATCTTAAGTACTGCATACATCTGATGCACTTAGCCAGAAGACTGTTAAATTCCAGAGACTACTTTCCTGGTATATGATTATACTGTATTTAGAAAATATTTATACTATTAAAATTACCCAAGAGCTATGAATTAGATTGACTTAGTTGCTATTTTGGCTAGTTTGATTAGCAGATATGCTGTTATTCTTATACACACTTTACAGATATGTATAGATGGATACATAGCTGGCCCTCCAGCTATCATGAATATAAAATTACCTTCTTGTCTCTAGTTTTCTCCTCAAGTTTCTAGATAGATCATTTATGTTTTAATACAATAATCTAATTAAAATCAGTTATTACAATTTTAGACCATACATATTGTTTATCATCAAAGCATTCTGCTTACTTTACTGCATCTCTTCCTTTCTGTACGTATTCTGTTTAATCATGCTGGTTCCTATCGCCCTTTTCCACTTTACCCATTGTTCCTCTACATTTATTCTTGGAATATTTTATGGTAACCTTTTAAAAGAGCATTTCATATTCCCTTGAAGCTAAAATTTTCCTTGCAGGAGAGAAAGTATTGATCTCTTAGAAATGCTTATCTTTGACTCTTCATTTTTCTCTGATTATTACTATATTGATAAATCCATCTTTATTATTAGTTCTTTGCTATATGAGCCCCAGAATGACATGACCATTTAGAATACTGAACAAACTTCATAGTTTATCATACACTCTTCATTTATTAAGGTGGATTTTTGTGTTCCCTCTTGTCTTGTCTTTGTGCTGGTGCGCTGTGTCCAGTAATCCTCCCTTTTTATTTTGGTGGGTAGGGTTTATATTTGGAGAAACTATTTATTATAAGAGTTTAAATTCTCCTTTTGATCTTCACATTGGATTATGTAAATTTGTTGAAAATAATTCTCTGGGTACATTAATGTGCTGGTAAACTCTCAAATGGCTCATGTGACACTGATGCTACTATAAGGAAGTGTCTTGCTCACCTGGTCAAACACCCATTCCTCACTGCATTTTGCCAATTCAATCCATTTTAGATGTAACCTCGGGTATGGTGAAAGACCCACCGGACGTCTTGGACAGGCAAAAATGCCTTGACGCTCTGGCTGCTCTACGCCACGCTAAGTGGTTCCAGGTTCGGAACATCATTTTACTTTTTTCTTGTAGCCTTATGAGAGAGTAGTTCAGTACAACATGTTTAACTGTGCTTAAACATTTCAAAAGATTGCCCAAGCAATACTATTTAAATTAAATCTCAGAAAATGTTAACATAGAAAGCTGGGTATGAAGATCTGCATATTGCAGTTACTATTAATTTGACAATAACCTTAGGTTTTGGGGGTGTTTTGTAGTTTGGGTTTTTTTATTTTCATTTTTAGTAGCTATATTTAAAGTTTACTTGTTTAGGAACATCACATGTTTGTGTATATATATTATATTCCATAAGGCTGCAGATTAACTTTTGCTTTAAATAATGGAATATGTGTTTAAAGCTTTGTGTATAATTTTAAGATTTTTCCCCCTCTTTCTCTAAGTTAATAAGTGTAGGGAGTGAAAGGTGAGGAAGAAACTGTTTGGTTTAGTGACTTTGCAGTCATGCAAAGGCACAGAAGGGAAACCAAACAGATTTCCTTAACCTTTCAGTCCCTAGACAAACTTTTTAGCTCTTTACTTTTTCTTTTATTTCTAATGTAGGCAGATTTTTTTTAAGTTTACTGTTTTAAATGACACAGGTCAAGGTTCACAGGGGATCAAGAAATATTATTCTTGTATAATCTGTTTACTTTGACCTAAAATACCAGCTCTTAAATACTAACCCTGGCATAAAATACTGCTGTAAATGGCAGCTCATTGAATCCAATTTTAAGTGTGATTATTTTTGTTTTATTTTTACCTGAGCTTCCATTGAACAGTGGTATTTTAACTTTTTTTCATCAAGGGATATTTTCAATATTTCTAAGATTAATTCACCTGGTTTTTGTGTTGCTCTTAAGGCTAGAGCTAATGGTCTGCAGTCCTGTGTGATTATCATACGTATTCTCCGGGACCTCTGTCAGCGAGTTCCAACATGGTCTGATTTTCCAAGCTGGGTGAGTACTATGTAACTTCATGGTGTGAAAAATAAACATTTAGGAAATATTTCTGCAGTTTTTATAATCTTTTATATTTAGTCATCAACTTTATGTTCACTTGCTAAATATTTCTTTCCTTCTCTAGTGAGAAATCCTAGGGGTCATAGAATATCTAATTTTCTGAGATTTTACTATTTGAAGAATTGGACTTGATGTTTCTTTTTGTATCGCCCCCCCCCCCCTTTTTTGCCTTTCTCACAATGTTTATTTTTTAAAATAACAGCAATTATTAATTGGCTTTTACTTACATAAAGGTACAAAGTTTAAAAATAAGGTATTTATCTCCCTATGCCGTGTTCTGTTGACAACTGTTGACAGTTGTTTTAAAATAATGTGCAAAAATTTAAAATTTTAAGAATTCAGAAATCTGGGCTTTTCAAAAATGTGTAGAGTTAGGAAATTCAAATAATGCAGAAAGGCACCAAAAAGTGAAAGTCTAACACTTTGTTGTGGGTTCTTCCAGGAAAAAAAAAAATGCATGCCGTATGCATCATATATTTTCCTGTTTTTATATATGTAGTACTAGTATCCCTTTGATGTTGGAGCTTTTTTGGTTCCTCAGTAGCAAGAACTCAGATAGAGAGGGGTTCATCCAAAAATATGACTGGACCTATTGATTCCAGAGTTAGTTAGTGAGAATTAAATAGCCAGGTTACTTTACTTCTTTTTTTTTTTTTTTTTTAATTTTTTTAATGTTTATTTATTTTTGAGAGAGGGAGAGAGACAGAGTGTGAGTGGAGGAGAAGCAGAGAGAGAGAGAGAGAGGGAGACAACAGAATCTGAAACAGGCTCCAGGCTCCGAGCTGTCCGCACAGAGCCCGATGTGGGCTCACAAACTGCCAGATCATGACCTGAGCCAAAGTAGGATGCCCAACCAACTGAGCCACCCAGGCGCCCGAACTTTTTTTTTTTTTTAAGATTTTTTTAAAGTTTATTTATTTATTTTGAGAGAGAGAGAGTGCATGTGCATGTGGAGGGAGGGGCAGAAAGGGAGAGGGAGAGGGGGAATCCTAAGCAGGGTCCGCACCAACAGTGCAGAGCCCAACGTGGGGCCTGATCCCATGAACCGTGAAATCATGACCTGAGCCAAGATCAAGAGTCAGATGTTCAACTGACCCAGGTGCCCCTGGGTTACTTTACTTCTGTAATTTTTTAAATAAACACAGGGGTGTTTATGCTATTTACATTATTCGGATTTTTCTTAACAAAATGCATCTTGAAACTCTTTGAGAGGGTCACAGTCAAATCTACCTTATTCTCTGCATTGACTACACGGTACTCCCTTTGTATGGATATGCCAAATTTTATTTAACCTGCATGCATTTGATAGACATTTTGGTTGTTTGCAGTGTTTTCCCATTAAATCTTCATTATATTGCTATCAAGCTTTTGTTGAGTACTATGTTCATGTGATAAATTGTTAGGGCTAGAATTCCAAGGTCAAATAACATGTGCTAATCATTTATCAGAAAGTTGGATCATTGAAAACATCCAAAAACTGTTGGATTGATCATTTCCTTCACACCCTCACTAACTCTGGGATATCATCACATTTCTTAACAATATAATAAATACAAAATGGTGTCTCATTTTTTTATTTACGTTTTTTAGGGTCAGCTTCAGCTCAACTGGTTACTTCACATGTGGTTATTTACATTTCTTTAAGTGAGTTGAGTGATTGCTGGCACTTGTAATTATTTTTTTCTTAATTTGCAGTTCCATTGTTACTCAACATTTTCTTAATAATTTATATCAACTCTTTTTTATAAGAAAATAGCCCTTATCTGTAACAAAAATTATTTTTTCCAGTTTTTTAATCTATTTTTTAACTATATGATCATTTTTGCTGTATCAGAGTTTTAAAATTTTTGTAAATTCTAATCCATTGATCTTTTATGACTTCTGGGTTTTGTTTATTCTATTTATAAAATCATCTTGTATTTTAGGTTATATATTATAGGGCACCTAGGTAGCTCAGTCAGTTAAGCGTCAGACTCTTGATTTTATCTTAGGTCATGAAGTCAAGCCCAAAGTCGAGATCAAGCCCAAGGTCGGGCTGCACGCTGACAGGGTGGAGCCTGCTTGAGATTCTCTTTCTTTCTCGCTCTCTGCCCCTCCCCCCCATCAAAATAAATAAACTTTAATTTTTTTTTAACATTTATTTTTGAGAGATAGAGCATGTGCAGGGCAGGGGCAAAGAGAGGGAAACACAGAAACCCAAGCAAACTGCAAGATCATGACCTGAACCGAAGTTGGATGCTCAACCGACTGAGCCACCCAGGCTCCCATCGAAATAAATAAACTTAAAAAAAAGTTCACACATGCTTTCCTCTGAAGCCTCCCGCCGTCCTCCCCACAATCAAATTATATTTTGGGGCACCTGGTGGCTCAGTCGGTTGAGCATCCAGCTCGATTTCAGCTCAAGTCTGTTCTCACGGTTCATGGGTTTGAGCCCCCATCGGGCTCCCATTGGCAGGTATAGAACCTGCTTGGGATTCTCTCTGTCCCTCCCCCACTCACGCTTGCTCTCTCAAATAAACTTTTAAAAAATTATGTTTTCCACAAGTGTGTATTACATATTTTTTTTAATACATAACAAAAGCTTTGAGAAAGCTATATATCAACTTAAAATTAAAGCACTTATCTCTGAGGAGTAAGAGAAAGGGATGATTATAATAGAGATCTGTAATGTTTAATTTTACCAAGACAAAATATACATATATGACTTAACACAATGAAAAATAATTTTAAATAAATAATCATTTAAAATCATAAGTGGATTTAGCTAAATGCTTTTTCAGACCAATTGCCAATTATTCCAGTACGATTTAACAATTTAACAGTGAAATCTGTTATCCCAACCCCCAGTTTGAAATACCACCATTATTCATAAACCAGTGGTTCTCATGCAGGGGCAGTTTTGCCCTCCAGGAGACATTTTCCTTTATCAGTAGTACTGAGGTTGAGAAACTGTCCTAAACCAGAGTTCCTTTTTTTGTGGGTCCATTTTGGCAGTTGTCTTTTATTACTCAGTCTGACTGTTTTGTTTTCTTGTATAGTATTAAACTCTTAACTATTAAAGCTTCAGAGTATGTTTAAAAAAATTTTTTTTTAATGTTTACCTGTTTATGAGAGAGAACATGAGCAGGAAAGGGGGGTGCAGAGGATCCAAAGCAGGCTCTGTGCTGACAGCGGTGATCCCTTATAGGCTCTAACCCACAAACCGTGAGATCATAACCTGAGCTGAAATCAGACACTCAAGGGACTGAGCACCCAGGCTATTCTCTGCCCCCATTTTATTTCTGCCCCTCATTGTAAACATCGTCTTGCACAGAAGAATTTCTCTGGCTTTTCTTATATGTTTGTTTTTCCAAATGAACTTTACTACAGCTTTGTTCAGTTTCTCCAAAGTTCTCATGATGTTTTTTAAGTAGTACTTCACTGAATTAATAAATTAGTTTGGGGCATATCACTTTTATAATGCTGACTCTTCTTGGCCGAGAGTATGTGATATCCTGCTTGCTGAAGTTAATTTTACATACCTGCTCAGATTTGAATAGGTTGTATGCATGTTAAATTTTGGTTTGGGTTGTTTGTTTGTACCTACATATTTAATCTTTTAGAGGGTTTTTTTTTCCTCCCCCCTTCACATTTTATTTTACGGTTGTTGTATATATAAAAGCTATTAACTTTCGGTATTAATTTTGCAACCTGCCACTTGACTGCATTCCTTTATTTGTAATATTTTTTTTCATATGATGTTCTTGGGTTTTCTAATCTTAGAAACATAACTATAAATGATATTTTGCCTTCTTTCTCTTTTCTAATTTAATTGATACTTGTAGAATAAATAGGGAATATAATAATACTTTACATGCATGCTATGTTCATACATGCATTGAAAATGCTTCTTGGAAAAAGGAAAAAAAAGTGCTTCTAGGTGTGAAATGTACTAATTAACATGATGATTAGCCTTTTATTGTAGAGCATGCGACTATTGATCTTGGGGTTATAAGTTCAAGCCCCACATTGGGCATGGAACTTAGATGAAAAAAAAAAAGTAAAGAGGGGCACCTGGGTGGCTCAGTAGGTTAAGCGTCTGACTCTTATTCTCAGTTCTGGGTTGTTAGTTCAGGCCTCACATCGGGCTCCCCACTGGGCATGAAGCCTACTTAAAAACAAAAAGTAAATAAAAAAAGAAGAAGCAGGAATGGAAATTGAACTTTACCAGATAATTTTTCAGGGTTTATTGACCTAAATGTATAGTTTTTCTCCTTTCAGTCTGTTCAATATCATATATAATACAAATAAATTATCTCATATTGAGCGAGCTTTGCGTTCCAGGGGTGATTCTCATATATATGAGAATATTAATGAACTATTAAATTCTGTTTGCTGATGGTCTGTTTAGGATTTTTTTTGGTGATAAAATTTTTTTCTAGTTTTATTTTTATCCTTGTTTTCAGATTTAGAATAAAGAATGCACTAATGGTATAAAAACAATCTGGAACCTTTTATTCTTTCTCTGAAATCTGAAACAGTTTTAATAGGATCAAACTACTACTGTCATTTGATGATACTGTTTTCCAATCTCTCTCTTTTTAATTTAATAAATTTTTATTTTCCAAAATGTTCATTTGGTGAGATCTCTTCATGCATGTTCACCAGCAGCTGAGACATCTCCACCCTTGGTGCTTCTGGTGTAAATTACTTGAGCTCTGTGCTTTGAAACCAGTTAGTAAGTTCTTTACTAACCAGCTCCTAAAGGGCTTTCCTGGCCAAGAAAACTCAAATCTTCAGTCTGAGACAACAGCTGGAGTTATAACCTTATGGTTGGGAACTTCCTTACAGAGTGTCATATGTTGCTTTGTCGAACAAAACCAGGTTATCTATTGAGCTTGTCCCAAATTTTGCCTTTGGGCCACTTCTTTTTGGGCCCGATTCGTTCATTGAGTCTT